CAAAACCCGGAAAACAAACTCTGTAGTCCAAACGAGCCGTTCATTGTAGTTCTTGAAAAGGGATTTTTTTAAAAACAAAGTATCTCCCTTTGGAGTGGACTTCGAGATTTGTAAGTTTGAAGATCTTTTTTATGCCCAAACATACACACTACACACTGACTAGAATTCAAAAAATGAAAAAGCATAATAGGACCCCTTTAAAATTCATGTTTGAAGTATGAAATGCATGAAACAAAAACGTGAAAGTCTGTTCAAAGTAATGTTAAATAGAGGCATTATTTTATACATAAATCCCGAAACATCATTAGGAAGTTCCTGAGGGAACCCACGGCTTAAAACCCCAATTTTTTTTGTAGGTTTTAGTACTAAAAACTGAACTGCTCTATAAAACGCATGCAGCTTTGCTCAGAGCCTGGTTTATTATAACTTGGAAGTCCAGCAAAACATCAGTTAGCCAAGGGTCTCAGCGTCTGAAGTCCCCTTTGATTTGGGGAGGTGTGTGCGTGCGTGTGTACCTATGTAATTACACTCTTTGAAACTTCAAAACATCCTGTTATTTGCGGTGTAAAAAGGGAAATATATAAATAAATAACAAGCCTTGCAATTAAATGTTACTTCCTCAAGTTATTTTCGGAGGACATGAGAGGGAAATGCAAATTGTGTTTATGAGTCCCGCAATTTTATTTTTTTTTAATCCAGTTATCCCCTTGAGGATAAGTACTGAAAGTAAGATGACAGTGTGCTGGCAGCTATTAGAATTTCATCCTGAGAATTCCTCTCTGCTGTGTGACACCACCTACTGTGACAGAATTAAACCGTAATGAGTTAATATCTTCTTGGCTTTTATTGAGGTTATGTATCACCTGCATCGTAATGCTGATGTGATGCAACGTCCATGTCTGAACCAGGTGCGACTTGATTGAGGGATGTGAGATAAATCCTCTTGAAACCTCTTTCACGTTGAGCCGTTCACACTGACAGGCGCTGTACAGCTACTCGACTGCGGTATCACATGAGCTCCGCCTTCTGCTTCCATTGGTAGTTATCACATGTAATTGCACTTTTGTGTAAAATTTAATACTCATTGCAAATAAACAACTTTTGGTTGCTTTACCATAGCTGTCACGGAAACACCTGCCTCACCAGCCGAATCAGCCTCCTACACCCGCTCACAATCACCTGATTACTGATCACGGACACCTGCACCCACTTACCACACCACTCAAATACTCACTCACCTCATTCACACATCGACTGGTCTCAAGGTTGCAAGCTTCTCTGTCCTGGTTCCTCGCCTTCCGATCTGCCTGTTCCCCTCGGATTCCTCAATTCTCGGCCGGAGGACTGTAGTGCCGACCCAGATAAGACTTTGTTTTGCTTCCATTACTCCCTATGTTGCACTCTTTTCTGTTGGAAGCCTCTCCTAAGTTCCTTTTATTAAACTCTCTAACTTACGTTTACCTGCCTGTCTGCCTCTTTGTCCCGGTTGTGACAATAGCAAACCACTGTTAACTTTTGGTTTTTTTTAGGTGTTTTAGCAGGCATTCCTGCTATTACTGATGTATAATTATCTGCACTTCCATTGGTTGGTGTATTGCTACTACTTATTTGCATAGTTTTATGCAAACTTTCTGGAAATAAATGAATCGTGTCACCTTGTCACTGTAAACTGCTAAGTAGTGTGAAATTTAATATTTTTGTTTCTTTAAATGACCACAATTTGGCCATATGAAACAAATTTTGCAAATCCTAAAATATTACTCTGATCATAGACCAAAATCTGTAGTCTTTGTCCACTAGTTTGACTTGTTTGTCAACAGACACATAATGACCATTAAAATTTACCTTTGGCTTCTCCTACGACGACCGTCAAATCAATACCATTAGGAACACAGAACCTAATGACACAATTAGAGCGACAACAACCAACACTTTCTCCACACACATCGACTTTTTCTCTATGTTTCTTTTCAATACAAGCCATGACCAAAACCAAACATGTCACCAAATGATGACGTAAAACTGATGTAAATCTTTTTGCTATTAATGAGTCTTGACTTTTTGTACTCATATTTGTCATATTATTGACAGCTGAGATCCCAATCATAAAGGACTATTATAAATCATATAGTGTGCAGTTTTACTTGTTTTTCTATTATCTGAAAATCCTTGAAACAAGATAAATTCACTTGAGAAGTACAGTAACTGCATAATATTTTTTATTAGCATAAGACCTGTTTTCAGAGAATGCATCTTTAATATAAGGTAGGTTTGTGGTTTTTAAAGTGGCAAAGTAACACACTTACATTTAATAAAATAGTTCACCCTAAAATGAAAATGGTCATCATTTACTTACCCTCATGTTTATATTTTGAATATCAATCTTTGATTAACACTGTTTAGACAAAAAATAAAAAATAAAAAATACTACTACTACTATTAATAATAATATATCTATACAATAATACTATATCTTCCACAGAGAGTCTTGGAACAACACAAGGTTGAGTAAATGATGACAAAATGACAATATCCCTTTTAACAGATGAATTCTCTGAAAATAATATCTTACGCATGTTGCATGTATTATTTATTTATTTATAAAAATAGCTCCAGAGAAGATGAAAAATGATCCAAAAACGATTTGACACTGTAAACTTGCATCACACCTCATTAAAGCTTCCCGTCATGAGTGGAAACATCAGCTTAACCTGCATGTGTTGATGTGTCCACTCGCTCTGTCCTAGTTACCTTTGTCTTCTGTCTGTTCAACTACCTTCAAAATCCAACTTTGAAGTACACTGGGCCAACAAATAGAGAAAGACACTGAGGGAACGGGGAGCGGGAGTTGCTTAAAGGCATTAGCGAAGGGGAAGAAAAAGAAAAGGGGGGAGAAAAAAGTACAAATTGAATTGCCATCTCTTCTCTACTCAAATGAAGGATGGAGTGGTGGCCACTAATGTCCTTCGACAGCTAAAGAGGAATTACTGCCAGCTTGAATTTTCTCAATTGTAATGCTGCTGTTGGTTCTGATTTGATGCCAAATACCCTCTTTTCATATTTGCTTGAAGCTACTAATTCAACTGAGCGTCAACAACAGCACTGCCATCATCACTATAATGTCTAGCTGTGCAGCACCATGTGCTTACATTTGTGTGACACATGAAAAATGGAATTACTGTGGATTATAAATCATTATAAACACATACAAATAATAATTTCTCTATTAAATCAGTTTCCAAAAATATAAACCGCACACCATGTGCATTAGCAAACATTTTTAATGTTTTGATCACTATGCTCAACTAATTTATTTTATTAATCGAGATTTAAGTGTAGTATTAGCACATTTGAAGTAAACATATTTTTGCTCTTAACACAAAAAGGCTTCTTAGGTGGCTAAATTACGCTGCGTTACAGACGTTAAATGGTGAGATAAATTATTTGAGCTTACAAGCACTAATTAAACGCTCTTTGACAACCAATAAAACAAAATTATAAATCAAAACACATACAAATAATAATTTCTCTATTAAATCAGTTTCCAAAAATATAAACCGCACACCATGTGCATTAGCAAACATTTCTAATGTTTTGATCACTATGCTCAACTAATTTATTTTATTAATCGAGATTTAACCCTCTACCGCATGGTGTGGCCATATGGCAACATGGTCTTTGTGTTCATTTCCTTGCCACTGTCTCTTAAAAAGGCTTCTTAGGTGGCTAAATTACGCTGCGTTACAGACGTTAAATGGTGAGATAAATTATTTGAGCTTACAAGCACTAATTAAACGCTCTTTGACAACCAATAAAACAAAAAAAGTTTTAATGAAGTAGATGCACCAATAAATGTGTATTAGAAGCTTCAGGGCAGGGTTGACATTATTGTCTATGATGACAGCTAATTTAGATGACATCCTTTAAGGAAATCTTTGCTTCCAAGAAAAATGTCATGGACGTTATCACCCAGTTCTCTTGTTTGAAGTTAAATAAATATGTTAGTTCTGATATTGGAACGAATTTAATTGGATCGGTGGTAGCCGAGTTGGTTTTAATAAAGTTGATTATAAACCCCTTTCACGACCTACCCAAAATAAAAGGGAAAGAAATCTAATACTTGAATAGTCCTTCACAGATTTCAAAAGAGAGAGAGAAGGAAAGAAAGCGAGTGATAAGGAGAAAAAAAAAGACTGAAGGGGACAAAAAGAGGACACAATCTGCTGAGGCGCGCACACTGGCCTCAAGAGAGGTATCATAAACGGCAATAACAAATAACAGCCACACACACACACACAGATGAACGCACAAACACACTCACGTACGCTTTTATCCCTTCAGGATCCTCAATTTGCAATTAAAAAAGAAAACTGGTCATATAAGCAAGAAAACGTTTCATTTGACTTCAATTGATGCACACACGCTCGCAGACAGAGCACGCAGTGCACGGCAGTGGGTAATAGTTTAGTTTATTTATCTTAGGTCACACATGCAGTGCGTTACAGTCAAACTGAATTCATACACAAAGCCCCAGAAGAATGGCAGCTTATTTCTTCCACGACATGATCTTATTTAATCAGGAAGCTGAAGCCGAGTTGTAATAAAGTTGATTATAAACCCCTTTCACGACCTACCCAAAATAAAAGGGAAAGAAATCTAATATTTGAATATTCCTTCACAGATTTCAAAAGAGAGAGAGAAGGAAAGAAAGCGAGTGATAAGGAGAAAAAAAAGACTGAAGGGGACAAAAAGAGGACACAATCTGCTGAGGCGCGCACACTGGCCTCAAGAGAGGTATCATAAACGGCAATAACAAATAACAGCCACACACACACGCACAGATGAACGCACAAACACACTCACGTACGCTTTTATCCCTTCAGGATCCTCAATTTGCAATTAAAAAAGAAAACTGGTCATATAAGCAAGAAAACGTTTCATTTGACTTCAATTGATGCACACACGCTCGCAGACAGAGCACGCAGTGCACGGCAGTGGGTAATAGTTTAGTTTATTTATCTTAGGTCACACATGCAGTGCGTTACAGTCAAACTGAATTCATACACAAAGCCCCAGAAGAATGGCAGCTTATTTCTTCCACGACATGATCTTATTTAATCAGGAAGCTGAAAAACAGTAAGAAGGAAAAAGAGAAGAGTGTCAACGATGAAATGTTCGCTGACTGGAAGTGACATCATCATCTAATCATTATGAGAAGATTTCTTTAGACTGAAAAAGGTCATTCACTGGAGTCTCTTCAATTACCAACAGCAACCACAGTCGCTGTACATTTAAATGCATTTTATTTGATTCATTAGCTAGTATTCTGCCTAGGCTGATGTACATGAACACTACATCAAGTAAAAGGAATGTTTCAGTTAGAATATATTTCAGTGCTTTTAAAGGAATCTGTTATGTAAACAAAATATTATTGTTTACTTCTATTCACTGACTCATTTTTCATTCAGTGAAACGTGAAGACTTTGATGGCTTTTCTTTTCTCCAAACACTGACTATATAGCAACATATCCTTGATACGACTATCTTAACAAACTAAGTTAACTTAAATAAAAAATAACTGAATCATGATTAAACACTACCTGTTAAATTTCTTGGTATATATACTGTATATACAGTATATATCACAATTCCTTTAAAAGCCTCTGGTGTGTAAAAATAGTAAATATCATCATGTCCTCCTGTTTTTTTTACCCTAATCAAAATTATAGGAGCATTAAAGAGTTAATAAAGAAACGTAATTCTAATGCTCATTATAGTAGCGTTAGCCGCGCTTATGCTAACGATTAACTACTCTAATAACAGCATTCATTTCA